GAACAATAGTCAATAAGACCACCTTAAACAAGGTGACTGTGGAAAATGCAAAAATCTCTGCCAAAGAGCCAGGTCAAAACAAGTTATGATTGGCACTTCTGCCTGAAATGGGTTCAACCTCCTCTCAATAAACCATTGCCAATATGAGTGTCATTTCCGTTGACAAATGTTCATCTCAGAGTAATCAAAAAATGAGACAGATACATGGCAACCTTAGAAATTAAATCTTGTTGCTGTGCAAAACACAGCATAATCTCCATGCCTGAAACTTGAGCTTCTGGATGGCCAGGTGTATCAAGGCAGATCATGGCCACCTCCACAGAGATAGCCAAAAAAGAAGTGGAAGAGGGTGATACTCCAGAAGGTACTGCAGAAGCAAAAACCAAAGTGTAGTAGCCAATCTAGTGCTATCAACAGGACCTGATATTGGGTTGTAACAAATCATATTTAGTGCCCTTTGTAACACATGAAGGGGAGAGTGGGCCTAGAGTTGTAACTCAATCCTGTCCTGATGGAATGCATCTATTGCCAAAGCCCAAAAATGAGGTACTGGAAACCAAATTGCCAGTAGTTGGGTGATCCAATGAGAGGCCAATCCACCAATCAGTGTTGCAAAATTAGAGCCAATCCAACAGAACCTTGTGATGCAGCATCTATTCTGTCAGGAGAATCAGTTAAGATTGAGACAACTGATCTGCTACCACAGACATCACCCATAGATCATGGCAAACTAGTAGAGAGATAGGAATGGTCCTGAGAAAGGAGGTCCAAAAATTGAAAACAAGGAGCCCTGGACCAAGTGCCTCCTTGATGAGAAACACAAGACAACACCATGGAATTGGCTGAATGACTTTACAAAAACACTTGGTATCAGTCAATTTTCATTTATGTTGTGTTGCAATGAGAAGAGAATAAACCAGTATTTCATTAAATGGAGTCCCCCGGTGGGACAGCAGTAAGCCTTTGGATTTACAATGCTAAAGTCAGGGGTCGATTCCTCTTGGTGGACACAGCAGATAGTCCTATGTGGCTTTGCTATAACAAAACACAAAAAATTAAAATGGAATGATAATAAAGTCAGAATATGCAGCAAGTGACACTTGACCACACAGTAGAAATCAGGACACTCAAAGGTGGAAACTTGAAATAGTCATGCAAAGCACATGCAAGAAGCAGGTGCAATGTACCCAGTTTTGTTTTGATTAAAACAGATTTAGAAAATTTAAAATTTTTTTTGGACAGTTATTTTTATTGATTTTAATCAACACATTCAATTAGGTAAAGAAATCATTTTGATTTTCTTACAAAAAAAATCACAACTAATATGGTTGACTTAATCAAAACAACTTAGGATATTTAAAGCCATTTTCACCTGAGCAACACCAGATACTCTGCTAGTGTCCAATAAAGATGAATACTCAATATAGATTTGGTTACACATTAACAATTGTTAAACAAAATATGGGAGTTACTCATAAGGGGTTTGAAAAGTCACTACAAACAATATGTCCTAAAAAACAACATAAATTAATTGGAATGGTTAGTAAGACACTACACGCTTTAAATATCCAATAAAGGAGAATTTCTCTAGATTAATTTGCATTACAAGTGAACAACTTAATACATAAGAAAAAAAAAGTATTTGGAATCAGTGTGGTAAGACACTAACAATTTTACTTACCCAATAAAAATGTATTACTTTAAATGAGTTTGATAAGAACCTACACATTTTAAATAGCCAACAAAAATGAAGTTAACATTTTGCTTACCTAAAAATATATCTCTGATAGATACCTCTGTACACAGATTAGCTATTTTACTCTTGAAGTCTTACTTTTCTGCCTGAGAGACTTGCATGTTACCAGTTTAGTGAAACTCACACCTACATTTCATGTGAAATCATATGAAATGGCAATACTGCATGATGACATATCATGAACCAAAACCCTCCACCAACAGGAATGTGACACACCTTCTTGTGAAATTCATATTGAAAGATTGAAAACACAAAATAAAATAGCTAAAGTAAAATAAGCGCATCTTTGCATGACTGTGCCAAGGAAAATAATGAAAATTTTCACGTACAAATGTAGATGGAGTATTTGTGCAAAGAGGTGTGTTGCACTACCATTGCTGGAGGGTATTGCAGTCATCACGCAGTAGCATAATTTCATTCATTTTCACGTGAATTTTAAGTGGGGGTTTCACAAGGCATGCAAGTCTCTCAGGTAGAAAAGTGTGACTTCAGGAGTAAAATAGCTAATCTGTTAACAGAAGTGAGTGACTCTATCAGAATTACTATGAATGAGTTTATTAAAAACTACACACACTATATATATATATATCATTACACATTAACAATTTAGCACTTAAGAATAAAGTGGTATTTGGAATGAGTTTGGTAAGATTACCAATTTTACTTATTCAATAAAAATAAATTTCTGTGGAAGGATTTGGTACGACAGTGATTCATGATTTTAACAAAACGGCAAAATATCCTTATAATCTACTTAAATAAAACATCTAAGATCAAAGAATCACCTAATATAACAAGTAAAGTTAAATGATTTTTATTTTAGAGGCTATCATGATTTTATCCACCCCTTTTAATTCACAGTTGACTTTGACCCCAAAAATAATAATCTTTAAATTTTTTATGTTTTTTCAAAAAAAGGGGATATGAATGACACTTAAGCTACAGAAAGAAATAATGCATAATTATTTTTATGTATAAGAAGAATTGGGTAATAGTGATTAAGTTTAAGGTTTTCATTAGAAATGTGATAAAATAGACATTCAACAACAACAAAAAAATCAGAAGTAGCTTAAAAGTGATTGAGGAGAGCTTTGTATAGTATAAATAATTTGAAGCTCACAAAACAAGTAAAACAGAGATGTATCACACATTACTTGTGTCAACAAAGAAATCAAAATAAAAGAACCACTATAAAAAACATTAACAGAATCATTTTGAGTTTACTTACTGATTAAGTATCATTTTATTACAATTTACAGATTTTATAGTAATGAAGATTATTTTTTAGAAAAGGTATGTTTTGTTCCCTGGTGTTATCATTCTCAAGTACACAAATTTTTACTGTTAAAAGTTGTGTACTTGAGAACAATTGCATCCGTGATCGAAATGTCGTACCTGTTAAAAAATAATCTTCTTTACTGTAATAGCTGTAACTTGTAATAAGATATAATAAACATTGTATCATTCTGAATAATATAATAAAATAATCTTCTTTACTGTAATAGCTGTAACTTGTAATAAGATATAATAAACATTGTATCATTCTGAATAATATAATAAAATAATCTTCTTTACTGTAATAGCTGTAACTTGTAATAAGATATAATAAACACTGTATCATTCTGAATAATATAATAAAATAATCTTCTTTACTGTAATAGCTGTAACTTGTAATAAGATATAAT